GTCATGATAGCCAAGTTGAAATAGCTGAAAGGATGTCACATTAAGGAATGCTTGCTTTGTGCTGCTCTAGAGATCAGATGTGGAGCAATAACAACAACAACAACAACAACAACACTTTATTTATATTCCACCCTCAGGGTGGATCACAGTACATATACACAGCAAACATTCAATGCCACTTTGTGTAAACAATACACAGACAGACAGAACAGAAGGAGGTGGTTTGTTTCAGCTGTTTTTGGTGTCATGGAAGTTTAGGCTTCAGTCCAGGGGGTGCTGTTGCTCCTTCCTCTATGACAAAGAGCCATCAGGACTTCTTCCTTTTGGTCACCCAGCATTTTCTGATCTTCTTTCTTTATGGCATCATATCGCTTTTAGCGGTACATGATTTCTCTAATTACAGCTAAAGCTGTTTTCAAATTGCTTAGGTAAACAATTAGCTAGGCTGACAGTTGGCAGCTCACGCCAATCCGGAGCTTCAAACTTGCAACCTTTTGGTTGATAGATCTTATAATTGCTGATGATTTACCAGCTGTGCTAAACCTCCAGCTTTAGATTGAAATTGCAGGAAAAGACATCCCACCACCCAACCATAAGAGGAACTTCATGAGAGTCAGAGCCAATGTGTTGTCGAAGGCTTTCATGGCCGGAATCACTGGGTTGCTGTGAGTTTTCTGAGCTATATGGCCATGTTTCAGAAGCATTCTCTTCTGACATTTCACCCACATCTATGACAGGCATCCTCAGAGGTGGTGAGGTTTGTTGGAAACTAGGCTAGTACAGTTTATATATCTATGGAATGCCCAGGGTAGGAGAAAGAACTCTTGTCTGTTTGAGGCAAGTGTGAATGTTGCAATTGGCCACTTCGATTAGCATTGAATGGTCTTGCAGCTTCAAAGCCTGGCTGGTTCCTGCCTAGGAGGGGATCCTTTGAAGCTACAAGGCCATTCAATGCTAATCAAGGTGGTTAGTTTCCTCAAACAGACATGAGTTCTTTCTTACACCCTGGACATTCCACGGATATATAAACCCCACTTGCCTAGTTTCCAACAGACCTCACCACCTCTGAGGATGCCTGTCAGATGTGGGGGAAACGTCAAGAGAGAATGCTTCAGGAACATGGCCATACAGCATGGAAAACTCACAGCAATCTAAAGTCAGAGCCATTTGGCAATAGAATATGATGTGTGGTGGAGTCTCCTTAGTTGTTTTAAGCTAGGGCTGGATAGCCATCTGTCAGGAGTGCTTGGATTGTATTTTCCTGCCTGGCAGAATGAGGTTGGACTGGATGGCCCTTGTAAACCCTTCCAACTCCATGATTCTGTGATACTATGAATATAATTACAGAGTTAGAGGAGATGCCAAGGCTCATCCAGTCCACCCACATTCTGTCATGCAGTAATGCACAATCCAAGCACTCCTGACGGATGACCATTTAGCCTCTGTATAAAACCTCCCAAAGAAGGAGACTCAATCACACTCTGAGGCAGGAAGAGATGGGGTATAAGTCAAATAAGTACATTATGCAGGCTCTAACCTAATCCTGAAGTTTGTTTTCTTCCCATTGTATCTGATTTCTTAGCAGCCTCTTCCCCCTTAAATTCAGACGGAAGATCAAGGAGAAATTAACCAATAAGAGGCACTCCCCTTATTGTTTAGTTTGATCCTCCTCCTGAATTTAAATGGTGAAGAAACAGCATTGGAGTCAGAGGCAGCTCAAATTCAGAATCCTTAAGAGGCACTACTTGGGAGGAGTTTGTGAGCATAGTATGTCAGCAAATGACTTGAGCTTGAGTTAAATACCATATCCCTGACTTCATCTTCATGTTATTATGTCGCCTCATTTCCAAATGGCATGATGATTATAACTTACCGAAATCTGAGCCTCTAAAGTATTGGGTGTGCATGCAATGGTTTACCTGGGAAGAATCTTGCAGGGTAATCAGAACGTGGATTTCAGATCTGGATGCAAATTAGCATCACCAGACCTTGCAAGGCAGATGTCCTGGGTGTAAATAAACAGGAAGAAGGATCACCCACGGAACACCCGGAGGCAGTTGTGTCTCAAAAGCTAGTGCCACCTTTGAGAAATTGGTGAAGGTGATTTTGCATTGCACATACACAGCACTTTTTTTCAAGACTAAGAAGATTAAGAGAAAAAGGATTTGATGAGGCATTATTTTGTAATCTCAAGCAGAATTATTTTTTAAAAAACTACCCTATATCACCATGTATACAGAGAAG